AGTATTATTCCTAGCTTTTAGCATGGAAGGAATCACAGGTTCTGAGATTCCCCTGGTCTTTCAGATGCTGGGCTTCAACAGCCATGCCACTGAAACCAGCAACCATGAAGCAGGATGGCAAATTGGTCCTTCAGACAGAAGATCGTGATGATCTGGCAGAGCCCACAGAATGTCCACCAGGAGCCTTCCCAGGTCATCGTACCACATCCACCGATATCAGTCCGGAGCAAGGAAGATCATCAGAATGCCCTCTCTCTCAATCCCGTGACGTAGATGGGAAGGAAAGGCATAGACCAGGGTGGACACATTCCAAAGAGCATCCACTGCTTCTGCTATAGGATCCCTGTATCTGGAGACAACCCTGTCCAGTTTGATGTTCAGCATGGAGTCGATGTAGGCGCTGCTGGCTAGGGAAGTCCACATGCCAATTGTCTACACCTGGGATGTAAATGGTGGACAGGCTGAAAGGAGAAATTCTGTCCAGGGCAGGATCTGATGTACCTCTCTTGCCTTGGCGAGACTTCTGGCTCCTCCTTGATGGTTGATGTACGTACCCTGCATGGCTTTGCCTGACTGAATCCAAATCAGATGTCCTCTAGAAAGATGGTCCAACGCTGCAGAGACAGCCAAATTGCCTGAAGCTCCATGATGCTGATTAGTAGACACGATTCTTCTGAAGACCATGTCACCGACAAGGTACCCGGGACTTCTACCCAGCCTGGCAGGCTGGCATTCATCGTCAGGATCTCCAAAAGACGGGAAGGAAAGATTCAGATTCCTGAGCCACCAAGCCAGGTGCAACCTGGTCTTCTGTACCAAACAAAGCCATCTGTCCAGAGACCTGATTAACTTGTCCAACAAAAACAATGTTACTGTATGTTGCAGAGGTCTGGAATAAAGCTGGGTGAACGGAACTGCATTAAAGGAGAACTATGAGATGAGTGATTTCCACTCACCTCATAGTTCTAGCCGACCTGTGACAATGAGACTGTCACAGGTCGGCTCAGTAGATCGGGAGGTGAGCGAACACATACCGGGTTCGCTCACCTCTCGATCCTGTCACGGCTCTCTGCCGTGACAGGGGGAGGGGCTGGATTCCCCCCTCCCCGCTCCGATCTTCCAGCGCTGACTGGCGGAACGGACTGGGGAGGGGGCGGGTACAGCTGGCTCTGCCTCTAGATAGGCAGAGCCAGCTGTCACTCACGGAGCTGGGCAGATCCCGTCATCTACGTCGGGATCTGTCCCGGCTGCGGTGTCTCAGTATACCGCGAGCTGTAGCTTGCGGTATACTGAGCTTAGGGTAACGGGAGGACGCTAGTTTGTGTCCTCCGTTACCCTAAGGAGAACTATGGGGAAATACACTGACCCCATAGTTCTCCTTTAAAGACGATTACCATCAGGCTCAGGACTCGCATGCAATAGCAGAGAGTCGGACGAGTCTTGGACTGGAGAGGTTGAATCTGAGATGGGAGAGTCTGATGCATCTCCTGTAGAAACACTGGTCTTAGCTGTGTCCAGGACTAGACCCAAATACTCCAAAACAATGTCTTGGTTCCAGCAGTTTGAGGGTTCAGGATCGACCCGAGCCGCTCTATTGTCTGGACACTCAAAATCACGACTGACAGACCCTGTGCCGACTGTTCCCTTAATAGGAGGTTGTCCAAGTATCTAAAAATGGGGATGCCACGAGAGCAAAGCTAATACTGGGGCCAGCATCTTGGTGAACACCTGAAATACAGGGGAGAGCCTGAAGGGCAGGCCCAATAACTGGTAGTGTAGGGACCCCACAGCATAACGTAGGAAAACATGAATGCACTGTATAGATAGATATAGGATAGATAGTGTGAAGAGAGGTGATGACAGATTTGGTGGATTTCATGCAAAGTTTCTGTGCTCAAATGAAGACATCAGAGCTTTGAAATTCAAGATGGGGCTAGGTGGCCCCTTTGGGCCTTGGGAATGGTGAACAGGTAGAGGTAAAATCCTTAAAACCTTCCTGCTACAGAAACTGGGGCAACAAACACCCTGGCCCAGAAGACCCGAGAGGGCCCAATGAAGATCTGCTAATCTGTATGGTGACACAGGAAGGTTACAAATGAGAAGCTGAGGAGGGGAATAGAGGGAAACCACCTCCAGCAACTTAGTGTCAGAGATACAAAGTTGTCCAAGTTTCCGCTAGCTTTAAAAAATGTCTCCTCACTCTGTAAAATGGGGGCGTACCTTCATACAGAGGAAGGCCTGTCTGAGGATTGAGACCTTGCGGGTGGTCTGGGATCCAGGTTTGAAGGGTCTCAACAAGGAGGTCGAGGGAGTGGAGAAACTGAGAGGACATTTCTTAATGAGGAGAAAAACTTGGCAGTCTTCCTCTGAGGAAGATGGGTGTTCTTGCCACCACTAGCTTCCTCAATGATAGTGTCAAGAGTGGTCTGAAGAGATCTTGTTTGAAGACCATGCAGATCAAAGGTTTGCAACACAAGGCCACTGCACCTGACAATGAAAAAATATATCTGATGACCTGTCCACTCTGATCCTCTACATCTTGACCCGAAATAACTCCTTGAAATCTAGAAGTACTTTGTGAGGCTGGGAATGTCATCTCTTCTCCACCATGACCTGTGCGGAAAGCTCACCGTCCTCATCCCAAATAAAACAGCCAGGAGCTACAGCTGCCAAAAAAATCAGATGTATAGAAAACTTTCCACTCCATGCCTCGCTCAGACCCTTTTCTCCCTCACTCCATACATGAAGCCGACTTGAACTCGGCATCATGCCTGCCAGCACCCATTTTCTTTATGAAGATTACTTCAAAGGAGTGTTGTGCCATCCACAGAGAGGAGAGGTGCCTCTATGTAGGATGCAGTACCTCTTCCTTTCCACCAGGTGGCGGTATTGAAAAACAGTTCATTCAGCAGAAAAGCCTCAACTTAGTCGGCCTCAGACAACACGCTCCTTTATATGGCGGCGACATCACTGCATTGGTATTAATTAGTATATGTGCAGGGCGGAGCAGGCAGTGCACAAAATGCTTTGCAGAAATATCATATTAGGCTCCATTCACACTGGGGCGGCTGCCCGCACGTATTCAGCTGTATGAATACGCGCGCAGCCGCTCCAAACAGAAAAAAAACAATGTGCATTGTTCAGACTGTTGCGGAGACCACGCGGTCCCAGAAATAGTGCAAGCGTGATAAGCCGGCAGATTTCACGCGTTTGCGGCTGTAAGACAGCCGCAAAAGAGCGGAATCCGTGCAGTTGTTTCACATAAAGCGTTTGTGTCCCGCGCGGTCTGCCGCTATATGTGAATGGAGCCTAAGGCAGTCAAACATTACCCAGTACATTTCTTTTCCTGTATCTGTGCCCAAACATGTTACCTTCTCTGCCCACTGTCACTGGACAGCCAATCAGCTGCAGTCACTGGTCGAGTATTCTGTCTGTCTTCCGCTGTCAAAATGCAATAGCCTAGGGCACTGGTTCTCAACCTTTCTAGGGCCGGGACCCCTCAGTAACATTTGCCAAGTTGTGGTGACCCCCAACGGTAAAGTCTAGGGTTGACGCGGCTGCTGCAGCGACATCTGGCGGGAGAACGGACACTGCTGCGCTAGGAGAGGGCTGAGGAGGACTCTCACCTAGCACAGCAGAAATCACACAGCGACCCCACAGGTTGAGAACCGCTGTTCTACTTGCTTTTTGAAGCTGAAATACCCTTCCTTGACATTACCTGCGTAGAGAGTAGAAAGCACAATCTTTATGGTAGCTGGACTGAGGCTATAACCGCGTTATGAACGCCCAGGGCTGGATTTACTCTCCCTGCTGCTCCAAGGCCAGGTTCCGCCAAGGCGCCCCCCTCCCCCCCAACCACCATCAATGGAGAATGGCAACCAGATGGCAGGGTTAGTTTTATTTTTTTTATTGTTTATTGTATTTATTTTTTACTTAACAGCAATAGCTAGTTTGTAAAGTGAAATAGCCAATAGGAATCTAGCTATGCATTCCTATGGTGGGTTGTTTTTTTGTACTGACTGACTGCGAGTGCGGGACCGATGTCAGAAGAAAAAAAAAAACAGAGCAGAGAAAGGTTTAGTCTGCTCCAAGGAGAAAGTTTTTTTTTTCTGACTGACGGCGGGCCCGATGTCAGAAAAAAAGAGCAGAGAAAGAGCTTCTCTCCTGGGTGGCCGGGAGCCGCTAGGTGACCCCCGGCAAATCGTCATTCGACCCACTATGGGGTCGCAACCCCTAGGTTGAGAACCGCTGGCCTAGGGGTAGGTTGGATGATTCAGTACGGATGGGGTAAACAAGTGTTTTTTCTCGTTCAGCCCATATCTCATATGGCCAGCAAAGGAAGGGGTCCCCAAAAGGCCACACCCCTAACGTTGCAGCTAGTGGAGGAATTGGTCTATCAGGGGGTCCCGCCAGAAGTACACTTCTATACAGCTGGCAGAGAAAGGAACCTTCTGGAGGTCCCACCACAAACTGGGCAGCCACCAGAGGAAGTTGTCCTCCAGGGGTCACACCTCTAACTACGCAGGCAGAGGAGGAACGGGTCCCCCCAGAGGTACACTTTCTGCTGTGCAGCCGGCAGAGAAAGGAGCCTTGTAGAGGTCCCACCGCATACTGTGCAAGCCAGAGGAGGAAGTGGTCCTCCAGGGTCACACCCCTAACTCTGCAGCAAAATGAAAGAAGGGGTCCCCCAAGGGGGTCCCAACCTTAACTGTGCAGTCAGTGGAGAAAAAGGTTCTCAAGGAGGTCACACACTCTCTACTGTGCAACTAGCAGAGAAAGGAGTCTTCCATAGGCCACACCTTACTGTGCTGGCCAGTGGTGGAACGGGTCCCGCGACTGTCACCTCCACTACCACCGTCTTCCTTTGGCCCTTCTCCTCCCATCCAACAACCTCCTCTTAGTGGGCTTTTGAGTCTCTGAAGATCTGCAGCAGCCGAGGCCTCTCAGTGACGAAGGAAGGGAGCACCAAGGAAACCGATCGGGTATCACAAACCATTTATTGTGTTTTAAAATATTTTCGCTTTCTTTTAAAAAAAAAAAAAAAAAAAGAAGAAAAAAAAATATACACGGAGGAGGCGGAGAGGCGCCGCATGCGGTTTATATACAGTCCAGTAAGAAAATAAGAGATTTCTGTCGCTATAAATGGCCGGCCTCTGGTGCACAAAAGAGGCGTCCCTGTCTACGCCAACGCGGGGGGAAGTGGAAAAATGGCTGACAGGTAACCAATATCATCGAGGAGTCCGGGAAACATTGACCGGCCAATCGCAGCTGAGAACAGTTCATCAGCTGACTGCAGGTAGTGTCAGCGGCTGTCGGCCTTTACTAGTGCAGACGGGGGTGGGGCCATCAATCGCTGTCCGATCCCACCGCCGCAGAGCCCTTCCTCTTCCGCTTGCTGGGCTTTGGCTTTGTGTCTTCCTCTTCCTGCAAAGAAAAACAGAAAGGACGTCCATTACTCCTGGAGCTAAAAGCTCCGCCTCCACCCTGACCCCTCCTCTATGGACACGCATAGTTTTATATCCCTCTGCAACGCCCACAGGATTTTACTGCCCTCCCCTACAACACAAAATAACGCAGAAGGGGGTAGAGTTTGACCATTAGGACACAAGTGACCCCTCCTACTGCCCCCGACTCTCACCGAGGCGCTGCTGGACGAAGACTCCTCCTCCATGTTGGTTGGCTGTGCTGTGGTCTTCCTGCTGCGCGGGCTGGTCATGGGACCTTTCCGCCGGCTCTTTGGCGTCTTTGTCGAGTCCTCATACTCCTCCGCCAATGAGAAAAGGTCGCTGAACCTGCAAACACAGCAATGTGAGTAGATAAAGCGCCACCTCCTGGCAGAGGTGAGGTACTGCAGCACCATTGCAGCTCTATAGAAAGGTGAAACACATCTATGGAACCAATTCACCTGCCAAAGACTAATAAACGTATTGTCCGACCTCTTATGATACCCCCCTGGAGGGGGACATCACCATTTAGAGTCTGCAGTAATCATCAGTCCCACTGCTCTATCTCCTTTGTACAATACCACATAGGTGGACCCCCCTGAGCTCTCTGCTGTCATCCCTTCTCCACCCTTCCAAGCAGTGACTCCTCCTGCAAGCCTAATTTCAGCATTCAGGGTGTATCTGTGTATTAAACAGCCATATAACAAGCGCCCATTTCTGTGCAAAACCCTTATATTCTGCTTGCTATCACTCGCTTAGGATAAAGTCCAGACATGATCAATCCTCCATGTCAGGATGCAACAGGGGGCTCTACCTGCTCGGGTCCCAACATGAATAACCAGAAAGTAATGGAAGGCCAAGGCCAAGCACACAGTATGGAAGGGTGCTGGGTACCCGATCCCTATAATAAGCTGTTCCTATCACTTACTTCATCTTATGCGCCTCGTCGCAGCTGGCCTGTACGTGTTGGAGAGCTTGCAGGATCGGCGTCTGGCTGAAAACTGAACACAAAATGGTATTAGTTTAATAATAATTAATACATTGGAACTCTTGATGTGTTATAGAATCCTTACACTCTGCATGTACATTGGGGACATGTTAGGAATGACTGATCAGGCCACCAGGGGGAGGCAGAGCTCCACGGCCGGTGGGGAAGATGATACAACGTGATATCGGGTCCCATCTAGATGAAGCTTTAACAGAGCAGTAACAGAATTACAGAGCTATAGATAGATAGAAAAATAGACTGGCATAGGAGGAAAGAGAAATTATAAGGCGGGAGGACTATTATAGAGAGGGAGATGGATGGGAAAAAACATTGCCATATGAGGAAAGGAACATGAATGAGGGGAAAGGGGATCAGGGGGGGCGATGGGTTGGGGAAGAACGAGGGAAGCCATAGAAGTTAGAGGATAATGGACTAGGTTAGGGATTGTACTCCCATAAGAGGAGAGAGAGATGGATGGGGGTTTGCGGGGACTGCCATAAGAGAGAGATAGGAAAAGAAAATGGTAGATGAATGGGAAGGGGGGGACACTGCCATAGGAGGGGTAGAGAAAGATGGTAGGCAGGGGAGAGGGGAGATGGACATGGGGGAACTGTCCTAGGAAGTGTAGAGGGAGACGGCTTGGGAAGGATGGAGGGACGTAAGAGACGGTTGTACTTACAGTTCTGTTTGGTATTGGATAGGTTCAGTCTCAGGTTATCCAGATGCTCCAGGATCTGCTCCAACGTCAGCTGTGCCAACTTACTGCTCGAACTCCGCAGGCTAACAACAGCAAAGAGACGCAGATCATACAAATACCCGATCTATAATCTATAATCACACCCTACACATGATAACTGCACAACGTCCGTCATATAAACCTAATCCTCACTGAACTTCATTGGCCGAAAGTTCTAGTGCCACGATCATACACGACCATGGCGGCAACTCAGAAACTAACCGAGACACCACTTAGGGCCGTCAACCCAACTTGAGCTGTCCGGCAATCCCTTCTGTCCCAGAAGTAGTGTCCCGTCCCCTCTGAATAAGAAGAGACTGTTGTCACTTCCTGCCAGATTACTCTTTTCTGACCCCTGAGACGAGCGGATATCCCGTTGGAGTAGTGAGATCCCTATTCCAATTTAACCAATGCACTTAACCCCTTCCCACCCGTCGAGCACATATATGTTGCAGCATGGAGTAGGGTCTTATTCCAAGTTATCGCATATTTGCATCACTGGGAGTGTGCGGTCACCCATAGCATCAGTTGGCAGCTGATACGAAGGGCTCAGAATCACTGTGACAGCCAATCAGTGATCACATGAGAAGCCCAGGAAACGCAGCAAAATTGCCGCAAGCATCCCACCCTAATGACTACAGAATGTTCCTAAAATCGACACAACTCTGCCCCATCCCTCGGTCTGAGACAGAGCGTCTGGAAGGAGGTAACTACTGCTGTGCCGTCTCTAGCTAACCCATAGTGCTCTGTAAATCCTTTGTAAAGCATTAGATTGTGATATAAAACAGCCAAATATCATCAAAAACGGACCCAAAACCATGAAAGTTTACTTTTAATAAAGGAGAACGCAATGTGAAGATCTCAATAACCCGCTGAGACCAATCAGCAATCTCCGTTATTAGATGATGAAAGCAGAATTCTGATTGGCTGTCCTTTGCACTGCCTCATTACACCCGAGCCATCTGCTCTACGCCAGCGCTCTCCGCTCGCTATCTATCCAATTAAGCGTTGGCGGTCTCCTCTCCCCTGGCGGCTCTCTTGCAGTCCTCTGGGATTTGTGATAATCGCCCCTGCTGCGCTCTGCGAAGGCACTTCAGAGATGAATGACAATATGCTGAAGCCTCGAGTGCTTGGCACTGGAGACATCTCGAGCGGTATGCGAATTTCTGTGACGGATAAACACTCCAATCTTGCGGGCGTCTGCCGCGGCGGAGGGGGCCGGTAGAGAGGAGTCAGCTGCTTGGGCAGACAGCGCCCACCGGTAAGGGCTCTTCACGTCTCAGAAAAGTAATTAGCGCAAGGCTCGCAGACGGCGACAGCGGCCCGACAGACAAGGGGGGGGCGAGCGACTGTCTATACTGCCGATATAGCCAAGTTTAAAGCAAATCTAAAGCCAATGAGAAGCTTTCAATAATGTCAGTTGTTAGAAATGAATGAGCTGCATGCCACTTCTTTCTCTGTGCAGGGTTTGGTGAAGGTCGGTGGAAGCCCCGGGGCAGTGTGGTCACCTAATAGGTCTCCATATCCTTTTGGAGGATGAAAACTCCAGCTCATCTGTGCTCTCAAGTTAGCTATTTAGTTCCGGCGTTGGCATCCCACAGATTAGAATAGTACCCCGAGCCCGCCGAGGCATCCTGACTGCAATGTGCGCTTCCACATGTATGTATATGTGACATGACACCTCTGCTTTTCTCAATGTGCAGAGGAAGAGAACCGCTCCTCTCCCATTACTTATAAATGATCTGCTGGATTGCTTTCTATCTCTTCAGATCCTGGATAGAATCCAAATCATATGGTGGGAATGAAAGACCCCAAGATCTTAAGGTAAAGGTGATAGATCTCTCATATCTGACCTCCGGCCTTGCACAGTGGTACCGGCTCCTCTCCTGGAGCGCAATGGCTTCCTCTGATTTCACTGTGCACTGTGGGCTTCCCACAATGTGCATTAGAATCTGCAGCAAGCCCCCCTCATTTCCTGGCTGGAGGGCACCCAGCATCATCTAGCCTTTCCTCACCAGCCTCTTTCTTTGTATTTCAGTTCTTTCAATCATAGAGGCTCAGCATCACATGTGGGCTTTACCTAGGACGGCCGGCGTGCAAACACAAAAAGAGAGAACCGGAGCACCACAACCTAGCGCAATAAGGTGAGTTTTTAAAGGAGTGACGCGTTTCGAAGTAATTACACTTCGTTTTCAAGCCGGGTGTAGACACCCTTCGTGAACACCGCGGAGAAGCCAACATTAATACCTCTCACGCAAGATTCACATCAGATGTGACAGGGTGAGTGTACGTGTTTTATCTCTTCCAACATCAAGTTACACACGGTCTGCTCTATTTTTGGGTTTTCCTCTTTTCAATCTGGTACTGGATCCTTCTTCCCCACCCGGCGGAACAAGCTTAGTCCCTCGCAGCCACTGGATGACCCACCTGACACCACTCATGGTCACAAACTGCTGAGCTCCCCACCACATGCGTGTGCATATCAAAGAAAATTGTGCTGCCCCTTTAAAAACCCACCTTATTGCGCAAGGTTGTGGCGCTCCGGTTCTCTTTTTTGTTTTTCAAGGGTACACACCAGACACCCCGGTCTGATTTCACCAGGAGCCGCACACTAGACTTATACCCAGACCCGTCTTCCCCCAAAGTGCGCTCTCCAAATTGGACTTTTCTTTGAACTTTTCATGCATGCAAATACAGCCTGCCAAGCAATACCTATTCCTCTAGACCAGGGGTAGCCAAACTCCGGCCCTCCAGCTGTGGTGAAACTACAAATCCCATAATGCTTCTCTTTCCGGGAGTCATGTCTGTGGCTGTGAGAATCTTGCAATGCCTCATGGGATCTGTAGTTCCACCACAGCTGGAGGGCCAGAGTTTGGCTACAGCTGCTCTAGACTGACACCCACTCATCAAGGAATATTGATATTTGCATAACTCCTCCCAAGAGCCCCTCCCTAGATTTTGGGAAAGGGGATGAAGAAAAAAAATGCATCTTGGTAAACATGTGGAAGAACGCCAGACCTGAAAGTAAATGCAGCAACCCAACCGCCAAGTCTGGAAGTGGTTGTGATGGGACCCCAGATCTCCCAGCTGAGATGATTTGATGTTCTTGGGTCTGGGGAAGTGGTTTTGGGACTGTAGAGGCCCCACATCAGGTTGATAAGATCGGGGTGTGACAGCAATACCCTGGAGGCGATTGTACCGGTGGGGGCCCCATGTTTTCTGGCAAGCAATAAACGCACGGTTACATTTAACCCCTTACCTCTGCCGTTTCCGAGGAAGACTGTTGTTCTTGATAAGCAACGACTTGATGTGTTCCGCCAAAGGGTCGTCGTGTTTCAAGCACCAGTGGCGCAGGATGCTCGTGGTGAACTGGTCGTCGGGGTGACACGGGCGGCTGAGAACCATTTTCACCATCTCCTCGGTCGGCCTGAGAGAAGAGGGGAAAAAAAAAAAGAAAACAATCACTTTGTAGAAACTTCAAGTTTAAAGGAAAACTAACGATGCACCGATACTAGTATCAGTGCTAAGGTCGAGTACTCGCCCAAATGCTCCGATGCCTAGCCTGATACCTGAGCTTACGGTATCAGGAAGCCGGGCAGCAAGTCATTACACGTTGCCTGGCTTCCTCATTGGCCGAGAAGCAGACTCTATGCTCCCTTGTCACTGATTGGCCAGAAAGCCGGCTCCATGCTCCCTTGTTGAGGAAGCATAGAGACGGTTTTCCTGCTAATCGGGAGGCCGGGTGGCGAGTCATTACATGCCGCCTGGCTTCCTTAATGGGACTTCCGTTATCAGTATTCGTTAGGGATGCACCGATACCGATACTAGCATCGGTGCCGATACTGAGTATTTGGGCGATTACTCGTACTCGCCCAAATGCTCCGATGCCTAGCCCGATACTTCTTGTGTAATGACTTGCTGCCCGCCTTCCTGATTGGCCGGGAAGCCGGCTCCATGCTCCCTCGTCACTTGAGAGTCGGCTTCCCGGCCAATCAGGAAGCAGGGCGTTGCGTCATTACACGGCGCCCGGCTTCCACCATTGGCCAGCAAGCCGGCTCCATGCTTTCTCGTCACATAGCGATGAGAAGCATGGGACTGCTTCCTTGTTAATCGGGAAGCCTGGTGGCGAGTCTTTACACACTGCTCGGCTAATCAGGAAGCCAGGTCGCGAGTCATTACACGCCGCCTGGCTTCCTGAATGGGACTTCCAGTACTCGGTATTTGGTTTTAGCCAGTACTCGGTACCAAAATACCGGTATCGACGAGTCCGAAATTTTTTTTTCTTCAGTGCTCGTACTCGATACCGAAATACCGGTATCGTTGCATCCCTAAATAAAACATTTCAAGATGTATTCATGAATCATAGAGCTACGTGAATTTGTATCCTTTATATCTGCCTGGAGTTCAGCAAAAAAGACATTTACTATAAAAATGTTCCGTTGCTTTGCCGTTCATTATTATCAAATAACAATTGACCTGCTGCACCACGACGTAACTCCATGAGCCGGTCATTACATAGAACGCAAGGCTGAACGGGGATAAGCAACACACATAAATCGATACAGAGAAATATCTGGCCACATCAGGCTCCTGCGGGCCCGTTACCCACAATCCCCGGCTCTCCCAGTGCACAGAAGAGGCAGTAATAAATGATCCGACTGATAAGGGATCTCGGTGTACAGGATATTGCAGAAGGTGTCACGATCTGACCTGCATACACAATGACGCGCCGCCTCTGCTATTCGCTTTAGCCGGCGGGAAAGTGGAGCGGCGTCAGGCAATTATTGTAAATGGCGCTCTTACAAAGGTCAGAGCAGTAAACGTTTTTCACGCCGGCCCTGTTTTACCGGGATGTTCGCCAGGCTGTTAAAAGCGCAGCTTTAAGTTGGATGCGCTAATGTCAAATCAAGAAGCTGGCGGAGAGGTCCCTATCCAGCTTCCATGTCCAGTTTAGGGGGGGGGGGGCAAATTATCAGTAAGTGGTCCGTATGCAAACGGTTTATTCTAACTGTATATAAAGGGCTACAGCTGACAGCCATGTGCTTCCTGCAATTCTAGACTCCACCCACTGCACGCCATCCCCCGTACTGACTCTGAACTACCCTGGTGATGCCCACCCTACACTCACTTCCTTGGGTAATCCCACCCAAGCCCCTCCCACACCTTATAAATCAACCACTTTCACTGCAAGACTGATTTTGGCTCACTACTGAATATACAGAATTCAGATCCTCACACTGGCCGAGTAGTATTTTTGTTAGCGTTCATTGAGGGACACAGGAGTTTAGAGACTGTTGGGTTATACTGCCGCCTAGAAGAGGACATGGACACTGACAAATAGAAAAAATTGTTGGCCGGCCAAGTATGACCCGTTATACTCCCAGCATGCCTCAGATTTTTAATAGTGACCTAGGAGGATGGTGTGCTGTGCCCAATGATAAAAAGAGAAAATAATTTTTTTACTTGAGGGGCGAAAAAAAAAATAAAACATGACAAATAAAAGTGTCACTTACTTTTCCCTGCGGAGCTGTAGGAGGAGACAGGACAGAGCTTCGGGGTGCTCTGCAAAGAGAAAACAGACAGATAGGTCACTGAAAATGGTGAAGACGTTTTATTGGGGAGATCTTACATGGTCTATGGCGGATGGAGAAGAGGCAGGACGGCAGGTGGACAGAGAAGAAGCAGGACGGCTGGAAGAGGCAGGATGGAAAAGAGCATGTATGAGAGGAGGGCGTGTGCACTGACGGTGACAGACAAACTTACCTTTGTACTTGAGATGTTGAAGGATAGGGATGATGGTCTCCAATGGGACATTGTGGGCCAGGAAGAGCTGCCAGGTACAGTACTGCTCGAAGGTCTCCCATTCCAAACTCTGAACTGGAAGAAAGGACGCAGAGCACCTTATTGCCACCAGCCCGATCAATATCATGTGACCCCCTTAGTGCAAATAATGTGATTTCCATAATAATGATGTGTGCCCCACCCCCACCCCTAATACGTCATGCTGTGAATATCAGCACATACTGACGACAATGAGGTCTGCCCTCATTGTTGTCAGAATACACCGACATTCTCAGCCCCCAATCCAGGCTTTTTAGTGGATCACATCTTCATTCTTCCCAACTAGCCCTGAAGAAGGGGGCGGCCCTTCCCCCCAAAACGCGTTGGTTGTACTTGATGATCTTGTTCAATAAAAGATTTAAAATCCCATGGCGTTGAATTTCCTTCAGGTAGCACATACCCCCTACATACCCTGGGCTCACAACCCTCAACCTGGGCACTTACTAAGGATGTTGAGCACGGAGTCCTTCCGAAACATCACCAGGTTCCCCATCATGACGTGACACACGAGCTCCTGCAACTGATACACACACACACAAGGGACGTTACTGGGCTGTAGGTGATTCGTACATACAAAAGTATCAGGGTAGCACTGAACCCCCTTACCTGGGCAGAGTCAATGACGGCCACGATCATGTTAAGGAGCTCTCCGCTCCGCAGCGTTTCATCTGGAAACTGAAGAGAGAGAAGCCAGAGTGAGGTCCTCCTGCTGTGTAGCTGGGAATCTGGTTATGCAGTGAACAAGATGGCCGCCCCACCGCTCAACACGGCACGAAAAGACCCTCCTAATATACTGTATGTACATAGTTAAAGATTTTTGTACTTACCATTAAATGTTTTTCTTGAAGACCACGGAGGGGCACAGGACTTCTTAAACAGTCAGGTTATACTGCCACCTTCCTGTAGACGGCAGTATAACCAGACTGCTTTAGAATACCTGTGTCCCTCGATAGATGAATGCTGAATCATCGTAAGGTGTATGTACAGTCACGTGATATGCTTTGGTTTGGTTTAAATAGGATATAAAGGAATGTTGTCGGTGTGAACAGTCCACAGAGAAACTTAATTATCATTTGATTGATACTATAAACGCAGTTCACCAAGTTATATATGCGTAACACCCAGGTCACATGACCATGTGCTTACTGTGGTCTGTACCTCGCTGTATATGGAAGGGGTCAGGTAACACAGCAGACGCACGTCATCCTCCTGGCAGGCTTTCATGTCCATCATGAGGCAGGTGTGCAGGTCGCCGAGCTGCGTGGCCTGAGCGAACGACTCGTACAAGTTCATCTTCCCGGCCGCGGCCTTGCTACAGAGAGGAAGCCATGGAGAGAGTTAGTGACCAGCAATGTGGACATGGTGCTGTGGAGGACATCAGGGGCCCATAAAGTGTGCAGGGAAACAAGATGCTGTTCTTAGTGCCCCAACAGCCAATCAGAATCTCCCTTTTTATTCTCTCAGTGTACTTTAACAATATGAAATCCTATTTGTTAGGGATGCACCGATACCGATACTAGTATCGGTGCTGATGCCGAATATATGGGTGAGTACTTGTACTCACCCAAATGCTCCGATGCCTAGCCCGATACTTCCGGTATCACGAAGAAGGGCAGCGAGTCATTAGACGCTGACCGACCTCCTGATTGGCCGGGAACCCTTGTGACGAGGGAGCATGGAGCCGGCTTCCCGGCCAATCAGGAAGCCAGGCAGCGTGTAATAACTTGCTGCCCATCTTTCTGATTGGTCTGGAAGCTGGCCAATCAGGAAGCCGGGCGCCGTGTAATGACGCAGCGCCAGGCTTTCCGATTGGCCGGGAAGCTGGCTTCATGCTCCCTCTTCACCTTATAACGAGGGACCATGGAGCCGGCTTCCAGGCCAATGAGGAAGTGGCGCCCGGCTTTCTGATTGGCCAGAAAGCCGGCTCCATGCTTCTTCGTCACCTAGTGACGAGAAGCATGGAGACTGCTTCCCTGCTAATCGGGAAGTCGGGTGGCGCGTCTTTACACGGCGCCCGCCTAACCAGGAAGCCAAGTGGCGAGTCATTACACGCTGCCTGGCTTCCTAAATGGGACATCCGGTATCGGTATTTGGTATCAGCGAGTACCGAAAGAAAAATATCGGTACTCGTACTCAGTACCGAAAAAACGGTATCAGTGCATCCCTACTATTGGTTGCTGTGGGCAACAAAAACAGTTTCCTTTTTATACCTTGCTATATGATGGAGATGTAGGCGGTGAGGAGCAAAGTCTCATTCCATCCCTCACACCAATGACCATGGACCTTGGTAGCCATCTCCATCCAAATACAGACCCCTGAGTAGATCAGTGTTATCTCAGGAAACAGGTGCAAGTGACCCCTTCACAATCGTCTCTCCTACTGTTTAGTAATAAACAGAGAAGTCGCCCATTGACAATATGGAGGGACAGCAAAACAGAAAGGTGTCTGAAGTAGCCAAGCAAACAGTAGGAGCTCAGCATGGTGCCTACATGATTTCCCCAGCCCAGGCCTACATGATTTCCCCAGCCCAGGCCTACATGCTTTACCCAGCCCAGGCCTACATGATTTCCCCAGCCCAGGCCTACATGATTTTCCCAGCCTAGGCCTACATGATTTCCCCAGCCCAGGCCTACATGTTTTCCCCAGCCCAGGCCTATATGATTTCCCCAGCCCAGGCCTACATGATTTCCCCAGCCCAGGCCTACATGTTTCCCCCAGCCCAGGCCTACATGATTTCCCCAGCCCAGGCCTACATGATTTCCCCAGCCCAGGCCTACATGATTTCCCCAGCCCAGGTATCTAGCAAGCATTCCCATTCCTAGACTGAACTTCAGTCTAAAACCGCAGAATTCAGTAGCTGCCGTCTGGACATACAAGTCATCTTCTGCGCCTTGGCCCTCCAATGTTCTCACAGGTCTTCTATGGCGGAAGCGGCTCCCTCCAGAGTCTGTCAGTGCTGATCTACACTTCACTAATCACCCCAGTATGTGCGTCGTGTCGAACGCATGTTCATCACGTACAGACGCATCAATTTACCACTGACAGGTTTCACTCTCCTGAGGATGTCTGATGCCTGAGATCTGATTGGCAGAACCCTCCTGAGAGTTCAGGCCCTTCACACTGACATCTCCTCTACCCCCTGCTGCCATCTGATACCAGACAATCAGAAGATGGCAGAGCTGATGTCTGGGCAGAGGGCACTGCCGGTCACGTCATGTCTCATTTTATCATTCAGGAAGCCGTGTACCTTGATTAAGAGGGAAATGTGTTCTGGCTTTTCATTAATTAGTTCCAATAAACAGACCGGACACAGAGGACAGGCACTGGATGTGATTAAGTAGGATAAGAGTATAATGAGGAGGATTAAATCCCCAACCTGATAAGAAACTCTACTGGAGGGGGCAAGAGAGCTGACAGCGGACATCAAACGTGGCACTGCCCCCCACCTATCATATACCAGTCTCTGTTCCCCAACCCATCATATACCAGTCTCTGTTCCCCAACCCATCATATACCAGTCTCTGTTCCCCAACCCATCATATACCAGTCTCTGTTCCCCAACCCATCATATACCAGTCTCTGTTCCCCAACCCATCATATACCAGTCCCTGTTCCCTATCCCATCATATACCAGTCCGTGTTCCCCAAACCATCATATACCAGTCTCTGTTCCCCAACCCATCATATACCAGTCTCTGTTCCCCAACCCATCATATACCAGTCTCTGTTCCCCAACCCATCATATACCAGTCTCTGTTCCCCAACCCATCATATACCAGTCTCTGTTCCCCAACCCATCATATACCAGTCTCTGTTCCCCAACCCATCATATACCAGTCTCTGTTCCCCAACCCATCATATACCAGTCTCTGTTCCCCAACCCATCATATACCAGTCTCTGTTCCCCAACCCATCATATACCAGTCTCTGTTCCCCAACCCATCATATACCAGTCTCTGTTCCCCAACCCATCATATACCAGTCTCTGTTCCCCAACCCATCATATACCAGTCTCTGTTCCCCAACCCATCATATACCAGTCTCTGTTCCCCAACCCATCATATACCAGTCTCTGTTCCCCAACCCATCATATACCAGTCTCTGTTCCCCAACCCATCATATACCAGTCTCTGTTCCCCAACCCATCATATACCAGTCTCTGTTCCCCAACCCATCATATACCAGTCTCTGTTCCCCAACCCATCATATACCAGTCTCTGTTCCCCAACCCATCATATACCAGTCTCTGTTCCCCAACCCATCATATACCAGTCTCTGTTCCCCAACCCATCATATACCAGTCTCTGTTCCCCAACCCATCATATACCAGTCTCTGTTCCCCAACCCATCATATACCAGTCTCTGTTCCCCAACCCATCATATACCAGTCTCTGTTCCCCAACCCATCATATACCAGTCTCTGTTCCCCAACCCATCATATACCAGTCTCTGTTCCCCAACCCATCATATACCAGTCTCTGTTCCCCAACCCATCATATACCAGTCTCTGTTCCCCAACCCATCATATACCAGTCTCTGTTCCCCAACCCATCATATACCAGTCTCTGTTCCCCAACCCATCATATACCAGTCTCTGTTCCCCAACCCATCATATACCAGTCTCTGTTCCCCAACCCATCATATACCAGTCTCTGTTCCCCAACCCATCATATACCAGTCTCTGTTCCCCAACCCATCATATACCAGTCTCTGTTCCCCAACCCATCATATACCAGTCTCTGTTCCCCAACCCATCATATACCAGTCTCTGTTCCCCAACCCATCATATACCAGTCTCTGTTCCCCAACCCATCATATACCAGTCTCTGTTCCCCAACCCATCATATACCAGTCTCTGTTCCCCAACCCATCATATACCAGTCTCTGTTCCCCAACCCATCATATACCAGTCTCTGTTCCCCAACCCATCATATACCAGTCTCTGTTCCCCAACCCATCATATACCAGTCTCTGTTCCCCAACCCATCATATACCAGTCTCTGTTCCCCAACCCATCATATACCAGTCTCTGTTCCCCAACCCATCATATACCAGTCTCTGTTCCCCAACCCATCATATACCAGTCTCTGTTCCCCAACCCATCATATACCAGTCTCTGTTCCCCAACCCATCATATACCAGTCTCTGTTCCCCAACCCATCATATACCAGTCTCTGTTCCCCAACCCATCATATACCAGTCTCTGTTCCCCAACCCATCATATACCAGTCTCTGTTCCCCAACCCATCATATACCAGTCTCTGTTCCCCAACCCATCATATACCAGTCTCTGTTCCCCAACCCATCATATACCAGTCTCTGTTCCCCAACCCATCATATACCAGTCTCTGTTCCCCAACCCATCATATACCAGTCTCTGTTCCCCAACCCATCATATACCAGTCTCTGTTCCCCAACCCATCATATACCAGTCTCTGTTCCCCAACCCATCATATACCAGTCTCTGTTCCCCAACCCATCATATACCAGTCTCTGTTCCCCAACCCATCATATACCAGTCTCTGTTCCCCAACCCATCATATACCAGTCTCTGTTCCCCAACCCATCATATACCAGTCTCTGTTCCCCAACCCATCATATACCAGTCTCTGTTCCCCAACCCATCATATACCAGTCTCTGTTCCCCAACCCATCATATACCAGTCTCTGTTCCCCAACCCATCATATACCAGTCTCTGTTCCCCAACCCATCATATACCAGTCTCTGTTCCCCAACCCATCATATACCAGTCTCTGTTCCCCAACCCATCATATACCAGTCTCTGTTCCCCAACCCATCATATACCAGTCTCTGTTCCCCAACCCATCATATACCAGTCTCTGTTCCCCAACCCATCATATACCAGTCTCTGTTCCCCAACCCATCATATACCAGTCTCTGTTCCCCAACCCATCATATACCAGTCTCTGTTCCCCAACCCATCATATACCAGTCTCTGTTCCCCAACCCATCATATACCAGTCTCTGTTCCCCAACCCATCATATACCAGTCTCTGTTCCCCAACCCATCATATACCAGTCTCTGTTCCCCAACCCATCATATACCAGTCTCTGTTCCCCAACCCATCATATACCAGTCTCTGTTCCCCAACCCATCATATACCAGTCTCTGTTCCCCAACCCATCATATACCAGTCTCTGTTCCCCAACCCATCATATACCAGTCTCTGTTCCCCAACCCATCATATACCAGTCTCTGTTCCCCAACCCATCATATACCAGTCTCTGCTCCCCAACCCATCATATACCAGTCTCTGCTCCCCAACCCATCATATACCAGTCTCTGCTCCCCAACCCATCATATACCAGTCTCTGCTCCCCAACCCATCATATCTATCCCATCATATTCAAGTGTCCTCTACCCAACCCATCATATACCAGTCTTTGTTCCCTAGTATAGGACATCGGAGTGTCTGTTCCCCAACCTATCACATACCACCGTCTGTTCCCTAACCTATCACATACCAGCGTCTGTTCCCCAACCTATCATACACCAGTCTCTCTCCCCCAACCTATCATACACCAGTCTCACTCCCCCAACCTATCATACACCAGTCTCACTCCCCCAACCTATCATACACCAGTCTCTCTCCCCCAACCTATCATACACCAGTCTCTCGGTTCCCCAACCTATCATACAACAGTCTCTCTCCCCCAACCTATCATACACCAGTCTCTCTTGCCCAACCTATCATACACCAGTCTCTCGGTTACCCAACCTATCATACACCAGTCTCTGTTCCCCAACCTATCATACACCAGTCTCTCTCCCCCAATCTATCATACACCAGTCTCTCTTCCCCAACCTATCATACACCAGTCTCTCTCCCCCAATCTATCATACACCAGTCTCTCTGTTACCCAACCTATCATACACCAGTCTCTCTCCCCCAACCTATCATACACCAGTCTCTGTTCCCCCAACCTATCATACACCAGTCTCTGTTCCCCCAACCTATCATACACCAGTCTCTCTTGTCCAACCTATCATACACCAGTCTCTCTTGTCCAACCTATCATACACCAGTCTCTCTCCCCCAACCTATCATACACCAGTCTCTCTCCCCCAACCTATCATACACCAGTCTCTATTCCCCAACCTATCATACACCAGTCTCTGTTACTAAAACTGTTATTAAAAGAATCTCCATTCCCCAACCTATTATATACTAGTCTCTGTTCCCCAACATATCACATGCCAGTCTCCATTTTCCAACCTATCATCCGCCAGTCTCCATTCCCCAACCTATCATACACCAATCTCTTTTTTTCTATATGCATGCAATTGACAGCAAAATATATCTATCTTTGTTCTGACACTATTTTTGTTATCAAACAGGACTTCCGTATACGTTACTTTCTACCATCAGATTTATCACCCTCTTGTTTTTTTATTAGCAGAGAACATAAGAATTGTGTTCCATAAGGCAGAATTTTTCGCGGTACGGACAATTAGCTCCCTCACCTGGCCTTCAGGTAGTAGAGGAGGTGATAGCCAATCTTGGGCTGTTTCTGGTAGAGTTCGGACAGCAGGTCTAGAAGGAGGGAGAAGCCATTGCTATCTTCCTGCATCTGGATGAGGTTTCTGCAGACAAAGAAGACAACAGGCAGTGAAGATGGTATATTTTTGGGGGGTTTAGGCTGTAAAGATAGGAACATAGGTTAGACTCACCTAAATATTAGGTAGAGAGGTTTCCCAACAGACTCCTCCAGAGACCTGATAAATACAGGTAACAATGTCAGCGGGTAAAAACGTAAACCAAACGAAGGTCAAAATGCCACCAATTTCTACCAGTCTGGCTGATCCCCTGCCATTTCCTTCCAGGCCAACAAAAGGCTTTTTTTTTTGTACCAGTACCCCTCCCCAAAAAACTCCAAGTGTCCCATAGAATTCACCAATATAAGCTCTTCTATATTTCCCTCCTACAAAGCATCTACATTCTTCACCCATCAGGCCAAAATGCCTGCATTACTATCCCAGTCAGCCTTTGGTACTCCAAGTGCTTCTTCATATTGTGCACATCACGGTCTCACCCAATCGGATCACCTCACCATGTTGTATGCGGGCCTTCAGAAACCAAGCTAGTCAGTGTACTTATGTGTAAGTGCCAACGCTGTACATTTTTTGCATCACCCCCCTAACTGCCAGTCATCTTTCAGCATATGTGGTTCACCTACCCGAAATGTTGGTAGTGCAATAAACCTTTCAACCCCTTTTAGCTTCAGCCCAAAGTCTAGGGCTACAAACTCATATAACTGACCACTTTGTACGCTTTTGATCGAAAGGCCTTCTAAAAGGGCCTCAATGAAGGAGGACAATTGATCCAAGGGGCACTTACTCATCTGTAATCTCCTCTGGCAGGACCTCTCCGCGGAAATGGTGCTTGAACAACTCGTGGAGACAGGAAGCCAGAACGGATAACTGCTCCGAATCGAATTCATCCTGCAGAGAAGAGGAGAGAGAGTTTACCACTTTGCTTCCTGTTTGGAGCATACATGTCACTTAATGCATGGAAGGAAGAGAGTTGGGCACATTGTACTATGATCTTCCAGTGATAAACACATTAGTGTACTTTCATTTAGAGGTGCACCGAAATGAACATTTTAAAACCGAAAAATGGAAAAAACATTGGGCCCAAACCGAAAAAAAAAAATTCTCTAACTTTTTCAAATCTTTTATTTTTATTAAATATTTTTATTTTTAATGGCTCTGGGGAAATTTTAGGGGTCTAAACAGACCCCTGATATTTCCCTTTTAAAATAGAAAAAGAGATTGAGAACACAGAGTCCTCAATGTCTTTTTCTGCAGCCCCTGTGATGAATGAACAGGAAACTTCTATACCGAGTGTTCCTGTCCATTCATAACCTGTGGAGATAGTATGTTTCCCATGTCCACAATCATGAATGAACAGGAAGTGATGTAGATCACTACCCATTCATTCATAATTGGAGACAGAGTAGACATACTCTGTCCTCAATTATCTACAAACACTCAGCGGTCACTGATCACTGACTGCTTGTACTCGCTTCTTCCCTGACTCGCCGTCACAGGAGGCTGAGCAAGCGGTGCGGAGATCTCGATCTGACTTCTCCCCCCGCAACACCGGCTGGCCTCCTGTGACAGCCCTGGCTGTCTCCACCCACGCGGCTGCTCTCCTGATCTGTCACAGGAGGCTGAGCGGTGCAGGGAGGAGAGACACCGGCTGCTAACAGCGCTCAGCCGCCTGTGGCAGTTTCACTCCTCCCCGCTGGGACATAGAGCAGCGTCCAGCGGGGAGGAGAGAAAGTAGGGATGCACCGCTATTTCGGCAGAAAAACTGCACATTAGGCATTTTGCCAAAAGTGCAATTTTCGGCCGATATGTTTCGGCGGCCGATATATCGGTGCATCCCTACCCTCATGTGTAAGGCCTACATTAGTTTGCGGATGGAGGAATCTGTAAACGGACAGTCATTGGAACCATACAGGACATATCTTACCTTTTAATTGGTTTTTGGTCCATAATAACTTAATGATGAACCTGGCAGGACTGTACTTGTCTCCTGGAGCTCCCTGGTACAAAGAGAACGCCATATCACAAGAAAAGGAGTGAAGAACCATGGCTGCCTGCCTGATCCTTCACTTCTGTTCATGTGGTAAGCTACACTAACTCTGCTGTATACCATGGCAGTGCTGGATAGCCTGGGTGTGGGAAAGTTGGGTGTTACAAGGTTGTTATGGAGCTATATTGAGAAAGCTGACAAGGCCGAGTGCTGCAAACCCAGGCCACATCTGTAGTTTGCTCTCTTTCCTTCCGCCCCTCAGATCATCGCTGCCACCGACACCACAACACTTTCACCACCAAAATGGGGCAAGCGTCAAGGATAAGAATTTGTAAGCACTTACCTCTAGGATCTGCTCCACTATATCTTGCATCAGCTCACACTGCAACTCCATATCGCTGAAAGATATAAACACAAAGCCACCATGAAGGCCTAATGCTAAACACATCGAGTATCAAACTGGAGCAGGGTGAACCTGGTCACTGACCACGAGAGGCACTGGTGGACATCATGAAGTGGTTTTAGAAACAGGTCCTCTTTGACTGAACACTCAGACTGAACATAGTAATCTTTTACTGACGGGCAGGCGAAGGAAAAGGTTAGCGCCAATTAGTACATATGCACAAACTACCCACCTTACTTTCTGCAAGGAAACAACTTTCTCTCTCAGCGGCTCTTCCAGCTGTTCCAAGTAAGGCGTGATGTCTGCCGGCTCCTCAACGATCGTCTCCTTGATGGGGTGAAATCGGAAGTCCCTTTTCTTTCCTGGGAAAGCAAGAAAATATAAGGGGTGGGGTCTAATGGATGTTTTAGCCTCAAACTTCAGTCATTGAGACGCAGTGAGAAGCAGAGGGGCTAGTTTTGGCCCACCTAAGCTTCTTGTGTGTCGCTGTAACTTTGAGGAAGGTGCTATGTCTAGCTGGAGGCGCTACGTCCAAAGGTAGAGGCGCTACGTCCAAAGCTGGAGGCGCCACGTCCAAGCTGGTGGCGCTACGTCCAAAGCTGATGTGTTCTTGGTTTACCCATTGCAGGCACTCACACAGACCAGGGTTGGCCTGCACTTTACAGAAACCC